AAGTTATATTCAGTATTTGAATTTGACTATCATTTTTTCAATGATATTCCATTTTTTTCTTAAAATCTATGTAACTTTTGACCTAATTAAGCAAATTAGATGTTTTTTGTGAATTCTACTGTGTTTTTTGCACTCTTCAACAGCATCGAAACTTTACTAAATATTTATTAAAGGTCTACGTGCAAACTATCAGATATTTAGTTGCAATATTTATTCAATCTTAACAAAACATTGTAACTAAAACTTCCGTAGTTTGGACTTAAACCTTTTATAAATGTTCAGCAAAGTTTCGGTGCTGTGTGGGCTCTTTTAAAATCCACAAGAATTTTTAAAAAATATTCAAAAGTAACAAAATGGCAATGTTTTTAAAAAAATTACAAATATTTTCTCAAAAACTCCACCTTTATATTTTTTGCTGATTTTTTTCAACATCTTAGTAGGAATATATCCTGTGAAAAAACAGATAACGAAATTTATTCAAAAAAAATTTTCAATGGTTTACTTATATTAAAAAAAATAATTTTTAAACAAAATTAATTTTCTTTATCAGAATTTACAATAAACCATTCGTATTTAGCGGTTCTGGTCATGTAAACTGATTTATTACCTTGATCATCAATTTCTAGCATCCATATATTTTAAAAAAGTTCAAAAATAGTACATTAGAATTCACAAAGAACATCTAATTTGTTTAATTAGGTCAAAAGTTACATAGATTTTAAGAACAAAAATGGAATATTATTGAAAAAATGTCGGTAATGTTCAAACACTAATAACTTCAATGGGAAATTTTTTTTTCCAAATCGAGAAAATACGTATCTCTTAACTTTTGATAAAAACCAACATATTTCATTGCAACAGCATTTTGTGACTAGAAGTGCAGAATCTGCCTGATTTGAAATGGAACTCCCTGGTACCAGGTGTAGATTATGACCATACAAGAAAGTTGTCGGGTCTCAGTGATGTACTCAGATCTAGAGTCTAATTAACCGTGACGAAATACAAATTAGAAGAAAATAATTCTACCAGAAAAGGAATAAAGATGTTCCCCAAGGATTGCAGTAAAGTAGAGTTGAATCCTCGAGAACTTGAATGATTTTCTTCCAAACTGTTAATGGAGAACTTCTTCTTTTATGTAGTAATAGAAATTCTTCTAAGTCCAAACGAATATAAATTTGGGCAGAGTAACAGTACTTGGAAACTTAGAAAATTCGTATGTGATGATGATCCCCTGGTTCCAAAATTTGAACTGCCTTGACATATGTGGTCCTTTTTATACAGGATTTTCACAAAAGGGGAAGAAAAATTCTCAGGTGTGGATTCCATCTGATTTTGTATTTTTTGGAAATGCAAAATTTTTTTGGGAAAGTCAATCTATTGTCGCAAATGTATTATTGATTATAAAATAATGATAAAAAGGTTGATGACTGACCAGTTTCTAAATTGTTCTAAAGTTCGAATTACGATTATGGCAAGATTTTCTGTTCAGTAACTTGACAAAAATACTGATCAAAAAATTTGTCCTGTTATACTAGCCAGTTTATAGAGCAAATTTTTAATTACAATTTCGTCCAGGTTTTCTAGCTAGTGATTTGACAGAATTAGACTTAACTGATTAGAAAGTGTTGCCCAGTTAAACTGATCAGTCACTTATCAGTGACTTGACAGATTATCTTGTCAAGTAGAACTCTCTCCTAACTCTAAAGATACTAAACAGGGTCCACCGAATAATATTTCTACCTGGTTAGTCATTATTTTGAAAAAATGTGAACAATTTCTATACAATAAATATTGTCAAGTTTCTTTCATAAAAAATAATTTTTCGACAAAAGAAAACTATGTCAATACTTACAGATTGTTACTGGTGCGTTAATATTGGAAAAAAATCAATTTCCCAACCTACCTGACTTGTCAACCCACTCGACTTTTCCTTAATGCTGTCAGAATCAAATTTCTTTTTCCAAAAACAGAATTGCATTATTATTTATAACTATCTAACAATAAGCTTAAGTATTGTGAGGATCAAGCTTTTATAAAGAACTTTCAAAAATAAAATAAGATGTTTACCTGATACAACACTTTTTTTAAAATAGTAGTGATTGTTATTTATTAATAATTATTAAATAAATAAATTTTAACAATTAGGTTAATTATTATATTATCATTTGTAAATTAAGTAAATATTGTTTTTTAAACTTTTATAACACTAGAAAAATTTAATAATTTCTTTAGAATTCTAAATAAATATAATTGGTTGGAGTTTAATAATTCTATTATTTTTTGGTCAACTTTTAAATATTTTGAGAGTTTTTAGAGATTTATCGCATTTAAAAGGTTGTTCTAGTAACTATAGCATAATTCAAGGAGCACAAGAAGTTTGATTTTTCAGTGAACAATATAGACGTATTCGGAAAAGTGTTTTTTCTAGGGGGGGAATTTTTTTTGTGTTCAGTCAATTCGTATAGAGTTGCATTTAAATTCTATGTTTATGAACTAGAAGAAATGAAATTGGTAAATCTTATATTGATTTTTAGATTTGTAACACGATTTTAGAAACGAGATAGATTTTTGGGAATTGAACATGTAAAGTAAACTGAAATTAAATAAGGAAAAGGAAAATTGTAGTAAAATATTTTACAATTCCAATAACAAGTTAATAGAAACACTTTTATTTGTGCCCTCATTGATAAGTAATTTCTAAAAACTATTCACAATCCTAACTTTAAAAAAACAATTGTATATTTTAAAATTTTACATTTTTTTATACTAACATATTTCAGCAACAGGTTTTGAAAAATTAATAATTCAAAATTCCTTTGCTGTAAATCAATGGTGATTTTTTGTAATAGTCAATAAATATCCGTTCTTTTGAATGAAATTAATAGTGAGAAAAAAATTATTAATTTTTTAATAACAATTTTATAAACAATAGTAGTATGAATTTATCACTCGGTGGTATTTTATATAGTGTATGAAGATATCGATCACTCCGAGTATAATTTTATAAACAATTTACATTATTTGTAATTTCAAGAGCAATATATTTATTATAAAAGTAATTTGAGTGACTTTAACTTAAATTTTATTTAATTAATTGGAAACAATTAGATGATCAGATATAGTTATAATTTATTAAAAAAATATGAATTAGGTATCTAAATACATAATAGAATGATTATAATATACTATATACGTAATGAATCGAACGTTATAGTTATGAATACAATAGAATAATATATGATTAATAATTAAGTTTTATTATTTTTATAATAAAATCAATAGTATTTTATTGAGTTTTAAAATTAAATTTCCTTAACGATTGACTATAAGAACATTTCTCCTTTTTTATTTAATGAAATTCTGTAAATTTTATTGAAAATTCTATTCTATAGATACTCAATGACAAAGTTCTAGATAATTCAACATTAAAATTTCATTCATTTTATGAGATTAAGAATAGATAAGGTAAAAAATTTTTTCAATTTGTATAAAAAATTTCGAGGATATAGAAATATTCACAAGAGTTTTTTAATATCTATTTTAATTATATTTATTTATTTAATTATTATGTTATTTCAATTTAAACTATAAACAGTTTTTACTTTTTGTAGAAGATCAAAGAGCAATTTCAATTGATTTTTATTTATTTATAATGTGTAGTGAATTAGTTATGTAAACTGATGAATAAGTACCCACAGTGGTGAATGGTATTGTCTATTGTTGGAGCGAGCATTGAAGCTTCAAGATTACAATTGCAGATCTTTCTATGACTTGAGAATAGACTTCTTGTAAGATACTTGCTGGTCAATGCTATTGTTGACGCGAAAAGACTAACGATTGCACAGTTTCATAAGACGTATTCTTAACTCTGACTTTTATGGTATGGAATCACAATTTTTTAACTGGGGCACCTGAAACTGTCTTTTCAAATTTAAAATAATTTTATACATAATTTATTGTAGTCAGATGGTATAAAAACATTTATGAAATGCTTTTAGAAAATTGTAATTTTTAATCAGTTATAAGCAAATAAATTTTTAAGAATCCTTTTACTAATTCCAGTATTTCTCTGCTGAGGCATTCTATTTCAAACCGTGTACCACATGCGAAAGACAATCGCGTTCTTATTGAAAATCCCTTTACAAGACTTTGTACAAGAAAATGTACATGTTCAGTAGCTGAACTTGTACCTGTTCTGGTGAGAGCATGTACAAAATCTTGTACAATTTCGGCACCAGAATTTGGAACAAGTTCTTGTACGAGAACTAGTACAAGATCTTGCACAAGATCGTGTACAAGAAAATATATTTAATATTTGTATACATGAAAATGTACATGTTCTTGTACATATTCTTGTACAGGTTCATTTTATTAAAACGATTTTTGTACAAGAACATGAACGGTTTCATGTGCAAGTACTTGTACATGAACCTGCACAAAAATAAGTTCAAGAACATGTACATTTTTCATAAGTTTTAGTTTCATCCAGATGTATATATAATTTGTTGAAAAACAGGATTATACTGGATCAAAAAATGATCAAAAAATTTAAATTGGTCAATAAAAAGTGTTTTCAACATTATGGAGGTTAGAATCCACAAATTCATGACAATTGTATTTTTTGTTTCAACAGATGTTTTATATACTATAACGAAATTATTAAAAATTAATTAATATTATTAATCAATAACCCCTTTTAATTGTTACAAAAGAAACCCAACATGATAATTGTCAGACGCCAGCCAATTTTTAGATGGAATTGGCAAACCAGAGAAAACACCAAAATAACCCCAAAACTCAAATCAATCAAATGAAATCTCAGAGGAGATTCTGTTGAAAACGAAAGTCGCAAAAAGGGACACGACCCTTGAGACACGACACAACCAAAATTGGACTTACCCACGACGATCAAATATCAGCACCAGCTTCCTCTCGGCAGGTCCTCGTGGTCGATGAGACTCGCCGGTGTCGAGAAAAAGGGCTGATAAATAAAACACTAATTAACACTTCTTTTCTATTTTATTTGAGTCGAACTCAGCTTCGACTCCCTCTCAACATACTACAATTTTTCTCTGAAAACACACAATAGTACTCGAAAACTCAAACGTGGACACACTACAGTACCCCTGTACTCGCTATCGCGTCCATTGACAAAATCTATTGATTCTCTTGTCTCGATTCCTCTTGCCACCTCCTGGACTCCTGCGTTGTCTCTGCTCCAAATCCCCAAAACGCGCGAAACCCAACCCCAGTCAAATTTACCTTGTGATGAATTTACTTCGTCACAAACACCCCTCCCCTAGGCCGTTACTACTCCCAGCAGTAACGCATAACCACAACACCAAAACTCAAGTCGAAAAATTGTCCGTCCCTTGTCGACTACATGGAGGACTACATTTTGTCCAAGGTCCTTGAAGCTTTTGTTGTTGATCTCGTTCCCTTTGTCTCATATTACCCTTGTCGAAATTCCTCCTCGAATCTAAAATTATATTACCATTAGTAAAAATTAATGAGGTCGTGGGGGAAGATATCGTTTAAGGTCTGAGACATGAATTTTAGGGATACGACGACTTTCATTGTCGCATAAGACAAAAACCGTCGGCGATAATTTCTCCACAATCTCGAAAGGGCCTTCATATTTCGGTGCGAGTTTTGTCGCGAAATTCCGTGTACCACTCGACAATTTGTGTGATTTACGGAGTACTAAATCACCCACATTAAACAACCCCTCACGTCGATTACGGTTATAGTACTCGGTCTGTCGATCACGTTCTTTGTCGATAAATTTCGCTACCAAGTCTCGCAACGCATCCAACCTCTTCACCCTGTCTACCCAATCTTCTGGCACAATTCTCCTAACCTGATCTCGTGGTTCTACCTCCCGTCGCAAACTTTTAACCGGTCGAGGATGTCTTCCGTAATTCAAAAATGCGGGAGACGTTTTAGTCGCCACCTGTGTCGCAGTGTTCATAGCATGGCGAAACTCGTGAACATGAAGATCCCAGTCGCGATGATCATTCCCTATGAAAGTCGCAATCATGGTCTTCAATGTGCGGTTACTCCTCTCCACAGGATTAGCTTGCGGGTGGTAGGGTGGTGTGGTGATGTGTTTGACACCATATTCCTGAAGCGTTTCCTTGAGGAACTTGTTATCGAACTCCTTCCCATTGTCTGTTAATAAAAAGTCAGGGGTTTCCCAGCGAAAGAGGACCAATTCTTCAAATGCTTTGGCCACCGACTTTCCATCAGCTGATCGCAATGGTTTCACCTCAACCCACCTCGAGAAAAGATCTTGGAACACGACAAGATATTTACACCTACTCTTGCTTGGTGGAAACTCCATCGTGTCCGCTGCCACTACAGCCCAAGGTCGCTCAACTATCCTCTGTCCCATTAGTCCTGCCGGTCCTGCTTGTGATGCCTTGTGAAGCTGGCACTGGGGACATCGAGTGACATACTGGTGGACATCATTCCAGATTCCTTGCCAGTAATATTCTCTCGCCACTCGATTGTACGTTTTCTCTACCCCCAAATGACCTGCCGACGCCAATCCATGGGCGTCGTGGAGAACTCTCTCTCTGTACTCCTCAGGTACCACCAGTTTCCAACCATCCTCGTCGCCAACAATCGGAAGGAGTAACGGGTCACTCCTATGTCGATAAAGATGATCGTTCTCAATTTTCCATCCAGGAAAACGCTCCGGGAATTGTCGAACCAAATCTCGTCGCTTAAGGTACCATTGATCCATAATGGTATCAAAGGCATCGATCATCTCTTCGTCATCCTCACTCATCCTGGACAATGCATCTGGGACTTGGTTCAATGCACCTCTCCTGTGAATGATTTCAAAGTCCCACACCTGCATTTCCAGGGCCCATCTCGCTAGTCGACCACTCGGGTCTTTCAAGTTTCTGAGCCACTTTAGGGCACTGTGATCTGTGATCACCTTAAACTTGTATCCCTCGATATACGGTCGCAACTTCTTAATCGCCCACAACAACGCTAAACACTCCTTCTCCGTGACGCTATAATTCCGTTCTGCCCCTGTCAGAACACGGCTGATATACATCACCGGATGCTCACCGTCGTCAAACTCCTGAGTCAACACAGCTCCAATAGCAAAATTACTCGCATCGCATTGGATGGTGAATGTCTTACTAAAGTCAGGACGGGCCAACACTGGCGCTGTCGTAAGTTTGTCCTTCAACTTGTCGAAAGCCTCTTGTTGCTCCTCGCCCCATTCCCAGTCTCGACTCTTCTTGAGCAATTTAAGAAGAGGTATCTTGATTTCGCTATCGTTTTGGATAAATCTCGAATACCACCCCACCATGCCCAAAAATCTTCGGAGTTGTTTGACGTTCTTTGGTGCTGGATAGTTTCTCACTGGCTCGGTTTTTTCGGGGTCTGGTCGCAATCCTTCATTGTCGAGAAGATACCCCAAGTAGGTAACCCTAGAGCACCCAAACTCACATTTCTCTGGGTTAACCACAAATCCCGCGTCTGCCAACTTCTTCAAAACTATCTCTAGCCATTTCACGTGTTCGTCGAAAGTATCTGTCACAATTATTATATCGTCGAGATAACCAAACACGTGAGGTTCAAATTCCGGTCCGAAAAGAGCATCAATTACTCGTTGAAAAGTCATCGGCGCGTTAGTCAAGCCGAATGGCATTCGTCGATATTGCCACAGTCCTGAGCCGGGGATGGCAAAGGCCGTGTACTTTCTGCTCTCTTCTGCCATTGGAATTTGGTGATATGCCAGTTTCAAATCGATCTTCGACAAGTATCGCGCCTTCCTCAACTTGTCGAGTATGGAGTCTATCGTCGGAATTAAATAGGCGTCCTTGACGGTAACCTTGTTGACATCCCTATAGTCCATACACATTCGAAAATCTCCATTCCCTTTTCTGGCAATCACCGGTGCACTCCTCCAGTCGCTACTTGATGGTTCGATCACGCCTTGCCCATGTAGTTGAATCATGTGTCCTTGAGCCCACGTGATCATAATAGGTGACATGCGTCTCTGTCGATGCTGTACTGGTGTCTCGTCTGTAACCCTTATATGATGTTCTGTCAGATTTGTCACCCCCAGTACGTCAGATTCTGGAAGAACCAATCGGTTCACCATTTCTTGAATGATCTCTCTTTGTTTGTCCGTCAACGCAGAGATTCCAGCGCATTCAGCGTAGATCGACTCATCACTCTCAATCCCATCCTTGACGCCAAAAACATGCCAGTCGCCATTGAAAACTCTCCACAACCCCAGTCCCAATTGTACCTCCATATTCCAGGCTTTACAGAAATCCACACCCAAAATTATGTCTTGTACTACTGAACTAAGGACCTTGACGCTAAACGGTTGAGAATGGCCATCCACCTCGATGTTCAACTTCAACAATCCAGCTGTCTCAGTTACTCCTCCAATGGCACTTCTTATCGATGTATTGCAAGGCTGGATGCGGCTCTTATAAGGCTCAGCTACTCTGTCGCTAATCACCGAGATCATCGCTCCAGGGTCGAAAAGTGCCTCATAAGATTTGTCGCCAATGGTCATTCGAAAGAAATAACGATTTTCCATACGACTGCCGTCTACATCCTTGTCGAATAAGGGTTCTGGGTCAGCTGTGCCCGTCACAGCCTCTCCCCTCCCCTGGACTATTGGTACTGGCTTCTTTTCAGTATCTTTAGTCCCACCTGTCACTAACACGTTTTTGAGTGAATCCTCTCCACTCATTTGGCTTTTTGGTACCCGTGTCACAAATTTAAATGAATTCTCTTCATTTAATTCGTCAGTACCAACTCTCTCATCACTACGTTTGAGTGGCCTCTTTCCACTCTGTTGCCCACTACAGGATGCACCCTCGTTGATGGGGAAAAAATTTAACCCTCTTGGTTTACTCTTATTTTCCCTTGAACCTTCTCCAACCCTGGTCGCTACCCCGTCGTTAAGAATCGGTTTTAATGATTCTTCAGTGGGTTGGAGTGGGGTACAGACCCGCTCTGTGCCCCCCATTGTCCGTTTCCCAAAGCGGCCCTCACTTGGACGCAATTCGGACAATTAAGGAAATTCACGCCAGGTGATCGACAAACAAGGCATGACTCTACCTGGACTCTAGCTGGACACTGTGCCGCGAAATGACCACGCTGTTGACAAACAAAGCATGTCCTCATGGGGCATTCCGAAACTTTGTGTCCGACCATTTGACATGTAAAACATGCCCCCACAAATGGCTTCGACCCGCCCGTCGCAATTTGTGTTGTATGTCCGGTATTTCCAACTCCTTGTTTTGGTGGAAATTGGCGCTTGCCTTTCCCAGCGGTCACTGTCGCAAAAGTAGGGTTAGAAGCCCGTATCAGAGTCGCGGATGGCTGAGGACTTGATTGCTTAATTGCATTCACCTCTATAGTCCCCTTCTCAGAATCAGTCTTCTTTGTCTTCTTCGACTTTTTCCCCTTACCCTTCTTGTCGACCACCTTCTCTACCTCGCTACCCGTCGCTGACTCGTCTTCTAAAGCCGCTATCTTCTTGGTCTCTTTAGAGGAAGATGGCTTTTTCTCATCCTTCTTCGCACCCTTATAAGCCGCGGCGGGAAAACGCATTTTCTCTTTGGGGGGAGGGGGAACGTATCTGTCGTCGAGATCTTGAACCTTTTCGAACTGTCGCAAATTTCTCTCTAATTTCGAGAGTGATTCTAACCCCGATGAATCAACTTGTTTACGATAAGTGGGGGTAAGTCCCTTATACGCGATTTTAACCTGTTCCCTGGTCGACAATGGTTTCCTAAGGTGCCCCCATTATCAGTCGCAAACTGGTTATGTAAGAGGATATTTTCTCCCCTTTCGCTTGGGTCCTACTCCTCATTTCGTCTACCACTTCGTCGTCATCAATGGTCGTTAAATACTCTCGTCGAAAAGCTTTTTTGAATGACCTCCACGAACTGATTTCTTTACGAATCGTGCGGAACCACCTACTCGCATTACCCTTAAAAATGCTGGGGAGTGTTTGGAGGAGATCTTCGTCGCTTATCATGGCGCAATCTCGGCAGTCTTCTATTCTCTCCAGGAATTCTTCGGGATCTTCTCGCTCTTCACCCGAGAACTTGATATCCCAATCTTTTAGAGTCCTATTGATTTGAGTTAATCGAGAAGCTACACGATAGTCTCTTCGCCTCTGAGTCCTGTCGCTAACGTCAGTCTCGTTGTCAGTCGAAGAATTGTCGAAAAGTGTCCTCCTAGCATCAACCCGTGGTGTATTTTGGGGGGTATGCCTTCGGCTGGATTCCCTACGTTCTTGACGACTCCCTCCCCTAGTCGAGAATCTGTCGCTAACTTCTGATCTCACACTTCTATTGTCGCTACCTAACTCGCTGGGTTCGCTCTTTACGCCTGAACGCCTTTCTCTCTTTATGTATGTGCGCCTACTGTCACATACTTCCCCACTCCTAATCCTGTTTTCGCCTACTGTCCGGGGGGTTGGGTTAGGGATGGTGTTGGGACTCTCTCCTCCTGATTGGTCCTGATTAACAGAAGTTATTTCATCCCCTTCCCCAGTCGCAAATTCTACTGGATTTTGAGATGGCCGGTGGAAATTGCTATTATCCCCCACATTCTGACCCATTCTAGCCATTAAATGGTTATTAATACGGATCAGCTGTTGTAGTTCTGGACTCAGGGTAAACTTGGCTACAGACTGTCGCAAGCTAATCACCCCGGGCGACATCGTCGCTGAAACCCTCATTGACGGGGCAGAATTCACGGTGGTCGTTGGCGCAGAGTTCATAGAATGAACGGCTGACATTCGTGGTGGAGAATTCGTGGGGATCGACGCTGTGGACATCACCGGTGGTGATTGTGGAAGGGGCGGTGGAGGGGTTGGAAAGTCATCGGTATTCGGACTTGGTCTGCTGTGCGATGATTCACTTCCCCCCCTTTTTCTAATGGCTCCTTGACTTTGTCGGTCTCCTAAATATCCCAAGTCACGAATCGACCGTGAATTTTTCTCCTCGTCGCTACTCGGATAAAACTCGCCTCCTCTTTTAAGATTTACGTTGGGCAATAAACTCTCTTCCGTGAATGCCTCAAACTGAAAAACTTTGACTGAGTTCCCCTTATCGTACTCGTCGCAAAAGGGCACGTCAGTTTCTGGGGGGAGCGCGAGTTTCAATTCTGCCCGAAACAATCGTTCTCGCAAAACTTGTAACGAGCCACTAATGCATAGTTGATTAGTCAACAGGCTCGTTACCACTTGTCCTACCGGCATTCCTAAAATCACTTGCCACAATTCCTTCGCCTGTGGAATTGTTAACAAGAGACGCATCCTTTCTTTGTAGAAATGCATTCGTTCAATTGCCTCTGCCATCTTGAACGCTCGAAAAATTTAATTGTCAAAAAACACAATAAAAAAAAATTTTTTCTTTTTTTTTTTTTTTTTTTTTTAAAGGGGGCCTGTTCCCTACTAGATGCGGCACTGGTCAATAAAAAGAAATTCCGTTAAATAATCGAGTCGCCACAAAGAAAATTTTTCTCCCTTAAAAATTTTCACGCAAAATTGTAAATTAATTTTTTGAAGGGCCCGTCGATCCGTTGACACGGCCCTGGTCAATAATTTTTATACACTTGCTTGACTAGTCGCAAAGGAAAATTTTACTCCCTAAAATTTTTCAGTTATTTTGGAATTCTAGAAATAGGGGTGCCAATTTTATAGGTACGGCCCTGACAATTAAATTCAAGTTAACACAACTTGACTTTTCACAAAAATAAATTGTCGCAAAAATTAACCTGTCGCAAAAATTAAATTTAATAAAATTTATAATTTTTGGGGCCCGCTAACTATTAATCACGGCACTGGTCACTCGTAAAAATTTACTTTTATAACCGGGTCGTCATTAAGAGAATTTTTCCCATTAAAAATTCTCACGTAAAATGTCAATTAAATTTTGATAGGGCCCGTCGGTCCGTTGACACGGCCCTGGTAAACAAAAAGAAAATTCAACAATTACTTGACTTGTCGTTAAGGAAATTTTACCCACTAAAATTTCCAATTATAATTAAAGAAATTTTTTTAAGATGACCGTCGCGATAATAATACGGTCCTGGATTAATTTTTGTTTATTTAACAATTCTCTTTTTTAAAAGTCACACTAATCGACACTCAAATTTATTCCACACGTTTCATTTAAAATTCTCAATTTCTCCACTCATTGAAAATTTTACAAGTCGCAAGATTCCCTACTGCGCAAGTCACAAGTGTTTGAAATTTCTATCTTCTTCCAAGTCAAGAAGCATGGGTCTCAAATTCAAACACCGAGATATCACGTAATACGCATGCGCGACGAATCACATGGTATGGTACAATTAATACGGCGGCCACGTGGGAAGCAATTATTAATAATAAATAATTTTTTCAAAATTTAATCACGCACAAAAATCCAGAAAAATTCACTGATTCCGAGAAAAATCGATTCGTCAAAATCGGTCGAGAAATGTCTCTGAAATTAATTCTTGAAAATTTCTACACGTGACTATGGCGGACGCTATGCATATTAAATTTACCTGGGAACACTCGCGAAATTGTCTCACTTTATTCGCCCGAACACAACTCCTCAACCATGTCGCGAATTATAAATTTCAGGACAGGAACAATAAAATTCATTACATGAAAAATTACAATCAGCAACAAAATATTTTCTGTCGAAAATATCAGGTCGAGAAAGTCACAAAAATCAAGTCACAAAAATTTTGTCGTGTCTCAAAGTTTCTCAACGAGGCCCCACGTTGGGCGCCAATTTTTATAACGAAATTATTAAAAATTAATTAATATTATTAATCAATAACCCCTTTTAATTGTTACAAAAGAAACCCAACATGATAATTGTCAGACGCCAGCCAATTTTTAGATGGAATTGGCAAACCAGAGAAAACACCAAAATAACCCCAAAACTCAAATCAATCAAATGAAATCTCAGAGGAGATTCTGTTGAAAACGAAAGTCGCAAAAAGGGACACGACCCTTGAGACACGACACAACCAAAATTGGACTTACCCACGACGATCAAATATCAGCACCAGCTTCCTCTCGGCAGGTCCTCGTGGTCGATGAGACTCGCCGGTGTCGAGAAAAAGGGCTGATAAATAAAACACTAATTAACACTTCTTTTCTATTTTATTTGAGTCGAACTCAGCTTCGACTCCCTCTCAACACACTACAATTTTTCTCTGAAAACACACAATAGTACTCGAAAACTCAAACGTGGACACACTACAGTACCCCTGTACTCGCTATCGCGTCCATTGACAAAATCTATTGATTCTCTTGTCTCGATCCCTTCGTCTACGCCTCGTTCCATGAGTGGCCGCCGCGATGGCGCCACCTCCTGGACTCCTGCGTTGTCTCTGCTCCAAATCCCCAAAACGCGCGAAACCCAACCCCAGTCAAATTTACCTTGTGATGAATTTACTTCGTCACAATACACTGAAGAGGACACCAACGTTTGGTGTCGAAACGTCTGTAATTTTTTTGTGATTTATTATTAATAAAATAAATCATTTTTTGATCCAGTATAATCCTGTTTTTCAACAAATCATGTACATTTTGTTGTATACAAATATTAAATATATTTACTTGTACAAGATCTTGTGCAAGGCATTGTACAAGTTCTCGTATAAGAACTTGTTCCAAAATCTGGTGCCGAAATTGTATAAGATCTTGTACATGTTCTCACCAGAACAGGTACAAGTTCATCTGCTGAACAAGTACATTTTCTTGTCCAGAGATTTTCAATAGGGGTGTAGAGCACTTTACATATATAATTTATTTTATTAAAAAAACTTTAAATATAAAATGTAAATAATGCTTTAATAGAGAATTTCTCAAGCTTTCAGATAGTAATAAGATTTTTGTTTAAAAAATAATTATTTCTTACTTTTATTTGTATTTAAATACTTTAAGTACTGATATCTCAAAACATGTCATCTTCAATTTTGTTGAAAATTGTCTAAAAAAAAAGCTTGGATTCTCTAGTTTTTTTCCATCCAATGATTATAATGGACTTTTCAGTGAACTCAGAGCAAAAAATTCAAATATAAAATCGTTTTTTACTCAATTTGACATAGGACTTAAAGGTTTTAAATACAAATTAAACCAAGAAATAATTTTTTCTAAAAAAGCTTATTACCATCTGAAAGCTTGAAAAACTCTCTATTTATGAGACTTAACCTATCTAATGCCGTGCCTAAGTTGTGTGACATGTTAACCAAAAAGCCTGAAAAAGAAGAAAAATCTCTTTTAATTCACTTGTTAGAAAATTTATCTGAATTTTTTAAGCCTAAGGGAAAGAACTCCAAACTCAAAAATATTCTGGAAATGAATGTTGATGTAAGTTAAAACAAATTTTCTGATTTCATAACATATGAAATGTATGTAACATCTTTTTTTCATTATTTACGTTACAGGGTGTCCAGAGGTCAAGGAAGTTAGGGGAAAGTCAGGGATTTTTTTAAATATATTTAAAAGACAAAACTTTTTATTAATTTTTTTTAATTAAAAATTCCATTCCACATTTTAATTGATTACAAATTACATTTTTCCAAGTTGTAATAAATTAAAAATTAAATTATTTCTCATTACAATTAATTAAAAATTTCATTTTTCGAAGTTTTAATCAATTAAAAGTTCTATTTTAAACTTTAATCATGCAATAGTTTTGAATAATTTTTGATAATTTATTTTTGAGTTAAACTTATTTTTATGAATTTAAATGATATAAATTTAAAAATTTTAATCAAGTAATTTTTTTGATTAATTAATATTGAGATTTATTGAATGAATTTGATGTTGACCACAATTAGAAGAATTGATGTGTTTCATTATTAAAAATTTAATGTTTTTTTAAAATCTAATCTTTAGTGATTAAAAATGTCTTTGATAATCAAATTTTAAATTTCAATAGTTCAACAAAGAAGGAATAGAAAAGTCAGAGGCTAATTAGGAAAATGTCAGGGATTTTTTCCTTAAGTCTTGCTGGACACCCTTACGTTATTTGCTTGAATTATTTCATTCAAATTCAAATTATTTGTTATAAGTTGCATTTATAATTCGAAATTTATTAAGTTATATTCGTATAGGAGACTATTCCAGAAACTGATAGACCGCCATACTTGATAGCTGCTGACATTGAAGGACGACAATTAAAGTGTTATGTCGATTCGGAACCGATGCACTGCACCGATTCCCTGGAAGCAGTGATTTTGCTAATTGCATCCTATTATATTTTTAATATAATGTACAATCAAAACTTAAAATTTCAATGTTCTTTATTGGAACACATTATTTTTGGACGACATGTAAGCCGGCTTATACCAGCCAAATGGCGATATCTCTCAGTAACTAATCTTTTGGAAAAAGCTGGAATCTAATGAAGGATCAAAATAATCTATTTGCAGTAACGATGCTAAAGTCCACAACGTTTATGATCATCGATTCTGAAAGAAATATTTCGTCCAATTTATGAAAGACATTTTTTCTGATAAAGATTTTATAATTTTACGTTTTAAAGGAAAATTGTTTTCTAATAATTTGCGATCATAAACGTTGCGGACTTCAGCCTCGTCTTGCATAATACAAATTTTTAAGCATATTTATTTTGTTCAAATAACATAATAATGTTTTACCTGTTCTCAATTATTATTTTCATTCGTATTTATAAAACTAACTATAACAATAAAATATTTATGGTTAGTATATGTTAAGAAATGACCTTCTCAGCGCCAATACTTGTATTTCATTTTTTTTCAAATTTTTTGGCAAGGTTAGATTATAGTAACAATCGTTAACCTGATGATATAAGGGTAAAGGGTACATTACCCTGTTGAAAATTCCTATGTGAGAACACATATGGGATCCCATCCAGGATCTCTTGTGAGTTCTTATGTGGGTTCCCATACAGGTTCACACATAAGATCCTGTATGAAAAGGTTCCTGGGATGAACTTGCGTGAGATCAAGCGCACGATCTTATGTCTCTGTAAAAGCAATAACACAGGATCCCATGAAGTTTCCTGTGTAGGTTCCTATATGAACAACACGATAAATAGGAACACACATGGGATCTTATCCGAGATCTTGTATGAGTTCTTACATAGGTTCTCACATATAAGAAGATTAATAGCATATATATAAAAGCATTCTATAAAATCTTATTAAGCTGCTATTAATCTTCTTATATGTGAGAACCTATGTAAGAACTCATACAAGATCTCGGATAAGATCCCATGTGTGTTCCTATTTATCGTGTTGTTCATATAGGAACCTACACAGGAAACCTCATGGGATCCTGTGTTATTGCTTTTACAGAGACATAAGATCGTGCGCTTGATCTCACGCAAGTTCATCCCAGGAACCTTTTCATACAGGATCTTATGTGTGAACCTGTACGGGAACCCACATAAGAACTCACAAGAGATCCTGGATGGGATCCCATATGTGTTCTCACATAGGAATTTTCAACAGGGTAACGACACCCATGATTTAAACATTTCATAATTACAATCTATTTATTGAACATTTTAAATTAAAAATGTTTTAAATTAAATGTTATAACAAGAAATCTGCATTCCTAAATTACAACTGATGTGTATTATTATTAAAATTAATATTTTTAGGTTATGTTTTTATCATAAGTGAAATATAGAAAAGGATATAAAGTAATTGAATATTACATTTGTTATGACGAAAATATGTAAATCGAAAGTTCATCCTAAACCGACAGATATGAACTATAAATAAATAATAAAGTAAACATTTGTTATAATAGTTGCTATGTATTGTAATTTATTCAAGAAATACCTGAAAATTTATTTTAATATATTTTTAAAAACATTTCTTATCATTTTTATATCAGTTGTCATTAACTGTGCCGTTTACTATCTTCATGTCAACCTGGAGATACAATTACTCAAAATTCCTCGAAGAAGATGTCCAAACGACTTTTAGACACCCAAATGTAGTTTAGTGCTAACCCAGAGAAACGATTACTTAATAAGGGACAAACCGAAGAAGTTGACTAAATGACACCAAGATATAGCTTGGTATATTGGAAATAACAGTTGAATTAAATAATACTTTGTTAGGAACCGAATTCTCTAAAGAAGGTGTTCAAATTACTTCTAGACATAATGGTGTCTTAGTTCCGATAAGTAATTGTAATTATACTATCATTTTCTCGCTTTTTATGATGAATAATTGACATATTTATATAGAAAAATTTAATCCTGAAAAGTGGATTATTTTAATCCTTTATGGTATTATTTTAATCCTTTTTAGTATTATTTTAATCTGCAACGCTTTTTAATACCTTAAAGTTTACTGTGATTATTTACACTTTAAATCTCTCTGTAGCTCAATTGGTAGAGCATCTTACCGGCAATAAGAAGGTTCAGGGATCATTCCCCAGCAGCGAGAAACGACACACTTTTTTCAGAAACCATGTACAAAAATATTTGTACGAGTTTCGTACATAAAAATTTTATTATTGGTCAATAAAATTTCTACCTTATTAGATATGATTAGGTTAATGAAATACTTTAAGGGGGGAACACCAGTTGTAACTCAAAAAATAATGCTTTTTTCAAGAATATTTTCCAAAAGAACAATGAATCTTTTTAAAGAATACTATTTATTAGTTAAAAGTACATGTAAAAAGCTGTAATTTAAAAGAAAAAAAAAATTTTTTTAACAAAAACTTTTGGAGATATGAGCCATTGAAGTGGCGTCTTAAGAAAAAAGGCGAATTGCGGTGACCAGCATTCTGCAAGTATACTTCGTCTGAAATAAAAAAATGAAATTGATTTACATTTATTATAAGATTATCTAGTTCGTGATCGAAGGATTTAAAAAAAAAAAAAAATTTGAAAAAACGCATTCAAAGTTTCAACTTACTTTTTTTGTTCAGAAGAAATTTTGTTTCCAAGTTACAAAGAGTCATCGATTCCTGGACTCTTCCGCAGTGGTTGCCGTTTCTAAATCATAGGAAAAGGCCATCTGTCGTTAGGGTCAGGTATGGCTGGCCACCTTGTATGAAGCCACGGGACGCGCCGCTGCAGTGTTCTGTATATCTCATTTATTTTTCACCGGATCAACTTTGAAATTTACAGACACATTTCTAAATATGTATACTTTAAGAAAATGCACAAAAAAAATCGATTTTTCGAAAGTTACAACTGGTGTTCCCCCCTTAATAGGAGACACCTGTTTACCATCTTAACTACAATATTAAAATTCAAAAACAAAAATTACCATCCACTATTTACACTTTATATTTAAAGAAAATGAAAAATATTGAAAGCGTTCTGACGTTACTCGCTTTTTTTAAATAATCTGAAATGTCCAAAAGGTCCTCAGCAACAAGTTAACAATTTCATACAAAAAACAAAGATTATTTAAATTTAGAA